TTTTTTAAAGTCAGTGCTGTACTTTGCTTGCAAACTCCCAGTTTGCAGGTCATGAATGTTTGTTGTTTGGTTTTTAAATCTATTCAGACGACATCTGTCTTGTGTTGTAACTTTCAAACCCTCTGATCGTGCATCAGTCCTGGTAGTCAGTCCTGATTATTAAAAAAAATATTGTAACAAAACACGGGAACATCATAGTGGGCTGTTTTGAGATTGTGTGCAGAAATACAGATTTAGGCATCGTTTTCTGTGGAAGCGGTTGAATCTTTTTAGCTTTCAGGTCAGAACTCGGGGAGTGTCTGATGCTTGCTGGAGTCCCTTCTGTCTGACAACATCAAGCGAGGCCGTATGAATCGCCAACATCAGCAGGAAGTATCTTTTACTGAGAAACACAATCAAAATGTTGTTGTTGTTGAGCTTGTTCAAGAAATGCACTAAAAGCAGCAGCTTATTTTCATGTTTGGAGTCGACCTTTTCATTTTTTATGACTCCAGACTCTTTATTGAGAAGCCTGCTTCAAACAGTTACTTATTTGTCTTAGTAAAGCAATAAGGAATATAACTCTGACTCGTAGCAGCTCGATCACTGAGTAGTCCTTAGATTGCTGCTAATCAATCAGTAGGACTCTACCACTACTACTCAGTCTAAAGTATTTTATGGAATGCCTTCTTGGTACATTAAGGAGTAGTTAAGGTAGTTCGGCCATCTGATTAGGACTGGAGGGTTTCCAGGCATGTCCTACTGGGAAGAGACACCGAAGGCGACCCAGAACTTGCTGGAGGGATTTTATATTCTCTGTGTTCTGGGAACACCTTGGGGTCCCCCAAGAGGAGATGGAGAGAGGAAGCTCTGGGTTTCTCTCCTGGACCTGTTGCCTCCAGGACCCAACCACGATTAAGTAGGAGATGGACAGCTTGGTCGTATTATCCTTAATTACTGCCTGGCACAGATCATTAACATCTGAGGAAAAAATAATCTTAGCCAAGAAGTACAATGTTTAGCTATTTGTTAGAATTATCAGAACATTAAAGAATGTGCTATTTATCTGTGTTTGTTTGCCAATAAAAGTCTGATACTGTTATAATACCAGGGGTTGCTACTCTCTAGACTAGACATTACTGTGTAGCAGGGTATTGATGGCAGGTACATATCAGATAACTTTAAAACGTATAAACAATGTTGGTAACACATTTACCTAAATATTATTTATTGGTCTACAACCTGTTTTATGGGTGCAGTCAGTATGTTCTATAACAAACAAGTGTATAAGTGCTGGACAAAAGCTCAGGTGTCCATGTTTAAACACTAAAGTACATATTTTATAAAGCCTAAATACTTCCAGAATTGGGTGAAACAAATACTTCAACATTTAAATTTAAGGTATTAGTCCTGGTACAAACACTAGCAGCTCTGGACTCAATAGACACATGACGTGCTTCAGTACATAATACTTTTTAAAATAATTGCCTGACTAAAATGATTACAGCAATGTAAAATTTTATTACATTAGCTATAGTGTGCTGAGTTGTTACTGCTAACGCCTGACGGAGTGTGGTGGGACGCTCATCACACAGTACTTACCATGAGCCCTGTTTTTATAGCTGTCATGGTGTGTATTTAAGTAAAATAAGCTTATTTCTACTTGTTTGAGACTGACGCAACGTACAGTACTCACAAGGCGTCAGGTTAGGTGTAACAACATGGTGATGGGTGCAGCACCTAGTAAGATGGCCGCTATTAATCTCGCACAGTGCTGTCAGTGGCATTCCCAGTGACCAACACAAGTACGTAAAGATATATGAACGGTTCCTTAGTTGAAGGGGAAAGGACGTATAGCTTAAATACTTGTGACCTTTTAAAATTGTGTTACTGGTTGAATTAGTTTTTTTTTCTGTGCCTTTGTAGCACTTTTCTGTCTTGGCTAACTCAACTTTAATCTGCAGTGTTTCTCTTTAAACCTGCTACCTTAAACCTGCAAACCCTCAAATGTGAAATATTACAGACTCACTCGGAGCGAAATTAAATAATCCGGTAGCTCCTTTAATGAATAAAAGGCCATGGGCTGTTTGAGTTCGGGTAGCTTTTGTCTACATGCACCTGAAGTCGAGACGCAGTTTCTGGTTTATAGAGATCAGGTTTGCTTCCTTCCCTGTTGGCCACAGGTGTGTTTTGATCAGGCATATGTGCTTGGAGTATTTTCCACATCAGTAGCGCTACATGAACAGCGAGAGCCGGTCTTGATCGGTCCTCTTCTGTTAGCTTTTTGGCACTGATGACTCGAAACAATGGCGCTCTTCTATTTTTTTGGCAGAATCTGAGGAAAGCACAATTATTGTTCGAGGGTATTAAACTTCTCTTAAGCACAGGAATTCCTTTGCTCTAGTTATTTATTTATATTTTTAAATAAATCATTGTCATTTGGCAAAGAAGCAACAAAAGCAGGGAGTGTTTTCTCTCCGGGCTGCTGTAGACTAAAGGGCAATCTGCCCAATGAATAAGGCGTTTTCTTTCATGGTTCTTGCTGAACGCAGGGAGTTGGGGAGTTACAACTGGAGACAACAAACTGTCTGTTTGCGTTGGCATGTGAGTGTTGTCGGGCTGTTTTAGGTTTTGTACAAAGTTGGTTAAATAGATCACTTACGGTGGTGACGCTTCATACGACGAGAAGAAAACATCCTGCAGGTTGGAGGAGATGAAGATGAGAACTAGTTTGAACCAGCGCTCCGTGAACCGAACGACAAAAACCAGTCAACGTACAGAAGGTGGTGATGAGTGGAGGTGTTTGAAGTCTGCACCAGTGGAGCGTGAAGTGTTGAACTTCGAGGTGGGGTGAACCGACGATCGCTGAAATCTGCCCGTCTCTCAGATTTGCAGTTTATAACGCCTTCTCTCTTTTTTATTCTCCAATAAATAATAGTTATCAGTGTTGTTTTTATACGGCCTTGAACGTTTTCCTGTCAGAACCGAGCCGGAGTGCTCTTGAGACGAGCTGGAGACGCTTTTGGCAAAATCCAGATAATCTGAACCTCGACAAAGTCCCGTTACGTTCAAGAGACTCCATCTTAAAGACTGTTCACCAACTAGGCGACCTTTAGCATCGT